CTCTCTCTCTCTCTCTCTCTCTCTCTCTCTCTCTCTCTCTCTCTCTCTCTCTCTCTCTCATCCTAGTGAGGACAGCATAAGAAGCCCACTGTGTGAATGTCACAGAGACCCCACCAGAACCCGCTGTCTCTAGCACCCTGACCTTTCAGTTGTTTTGGCCAAGCTCAGAGACAACCTTTGGGCAATATCTGAATTCTATAATAGTTTGTAAAAATAGGGTAAAATATATATTTTATTTGATTTTTAAATTATTTGATTTTTAAATCTTTTTTCCTAGAAAAGAGTTTTGTAGACTGAGAAATATTTTCTTTAAAAGGAAAATTCTCTAATTTTCCACTGAACTTGTAATCCAGGAGCCCAAATGACAGACAGGAAGGACCCTGACAAGATAGGGCATGAGTGGTGTTGTGTTAATAATTCATACCTCTTGTATGAAGTGTGCCTGAACACAAATTTTGTACTGGGACTGCAAAATGACTTTTTTTAAACAAGCACATATATTTACCCAAGATATCGAGTGAGGTAGATTGATTTCTGCTCTTTGGGAATGCATAATCTCTGTATTATTTATTTAATGTTACCTGGGTAATTTAATGTTAACTGACGTGGTGGGACCCATATACAAAACAATGAATTAATCTGTTCAGAGCCCTTAAAGGGTATTATCAGCATCACATGGCATAGCTGTTTTCAGCTTTCAATACAATTTTCTTGGTTTTTAAGCAAACAATACATCCTTTCATTCTAAAAAATAACTTTCTAGAAGAACAGTCAAAATCAGCATGCAATTCTCCAGTACCCGGCCTCGTAGCAGCTCGTATGCTGTCACTCCCAGGGACCACCAGTCAACAGCAAAGGAATAGCCTGTTTCCTTTTTGGAACTGAACATCTCAGGTGCTGAAAAAAATAGAAAAGTGAGGCCACTTTTATTCCCTGAGATATTAACAACTCTATTTTCCCAATGTTCCTCCAAAGGAGAATTACCAGCATAAAAGGTATAAACACTCATGAATGTTGATTGTCCCTTGCTAGATTGCTCCCAGCAGGCAAAAGTTTCTAATTTTCTTAGCTCTCTCAGTAGCCTCCTTTATCAACCAACACACAGCCAGGCACAGGCTGTAACAGACAAACACATCTTTTGCTTAGATCATGCACCTGTTAAAAACTGGGTCCTACTAGGCATTGAGTATGTATCTAACTCTAAAATAAATATGGTTGAGAAGTTGTTATCTTGATTTGCAAGATTTTGCATTAAATGATCTAAGTTTATGATTGCAAACAATGCTCCAAACTTGGTACAACATACACTGGATTGGCTCTTCAGCTTGGAATCCCCTGGAAATGATAAGGGGATGGCTGTAGCTTCCTGCTGGGGGTGAGGGCAGGAGAAAAAGGGAATAGGCACTCTGGGAAATACAAGGTTTTACTGCATCTTGAGGCATTAACACTTGGAAGTCCTAGCTCTCTGAATTGGCTTCAGTGGAAGGCAGGGTCACAATCAATTTTAGCCCCAGGAACGACTCCTCTGTTACACACTCTCTAAGCACTCTGCCTCACAGGGAACCCTCTACATTCGCATTAATAATGTGAGGGTTGGGGCTGAGGATGTAGCTCAGTGCACCGCACCTGCCTGGCAAGTGCACGGTTTTAAGTTCGATCCCCAGTACTGGAAAAAAAAAATAATGTGAGGGTTGGAATAGGAGAATGAAACACATAGGAAGGGTAACTATCTTGTCTGCTTGCTCACCATGACTTCCTAAAGTCCAGTACAGAGCCTACACTCAGACTCAATGGGCAGCATGTTCTTAAATAAATGAATAAATAAGTCAACTACTTGAACCATGATTGTTACTTGTTTTTTTTTTGTACTGGGGAATGAACTCGGGTCCTTGCACTTACACAGCAGGCAGCGGCACCACTGAGGTAAAACCCCGGCCCATCGAACCATGCTTGTGAACATTAGCTCTGAAGCTTTGCTGACTGAGTTCAAATTCTGCCTCCACAATATATTGTGCTCTTGAAAAAATCAGTTGGCAGAGCATGATTAGCAAAATCAGAATGAGGCAATCTTTACAGAGTTGTAAATTACATGAGAAAATATATGTCAAAATTGCAGCATAGATCCTGGTACTTACCCAAGTGCTCAAAAATATGAATTAGGCAAACATCCATTATAACAGGGAATTTACCCAGTCAAAAGGTACACAGGACTGAAGGTAAGTGCCTTTAGTAAGGTGCTAACTCTGGAGGAGGGAGCGGATGTGATGTACCCCCTGCACTCTCCGGCTTGCCTATGAAGCTCACTCCAATTCTAAGTAAAATTCTGCAGACAACATCCAATTAGAGAAAGAACGTTGACGTCCCAATGCCCAGGACTGACCTGACTATAAGAGCTTGACATAGCAGGACTAAGTGGCCCTCATGCTCTGGTAAATTCACCTGTCATTCATCCCTGCTTCCTTTCTGCAAATCACAACTCCCAGGGGGGCTGGGCAGGTAATGGCCATGACCACAGAGAGCTCCCACAGACGGGGATGGCGTGAACCTTATTTCTGCTTTCCCTTTTCAGTACCTCATGGCAAGCCATCTCAGCCCCCCAGAGGACAAACGACAGACCTCTCACTTCAGGGAAGCTGCGAAGTGTTCTGAGGGATAACTTGACCCACGGTGGTAGGAGCATGCCAAACAAAATAAACATTACCCTGGAAAAGCTGTGTAGTCTGTCATTTTGGATCATTCTTGGAGTTTAGAAATATTCTTTGTCTTTCCCCCACCCTCTCCAACTTCATTGAGTATTCTTTTCTTTTCTTTTCTTTTTTTTTTTTCCTGCTATTCTGTGCTCTATTTTCAGGCATGAACACATCTGGATAGGCATTTGTCTGCTCACCAAACATTTATGGTGTGCTATGCACTGAGAAATTGGGTAGGTTATTGGGAAGAAAAATTGTGACGGTACACAAAAGCTGAACGAGTGGGTAAAACTTGGAGTTTTGCAGGTAGATACTGAGGGGCTTTCATTCACCCTTCAAGAATATCCCTGCTCCTGAAAGGGTTAAGTAGATGTATAGAGGGGCTAAGTTTTCTTCATAAAGAGCCATGAGGGGTTGGGGATAACCTTGTAGCAGAGGGCCTGCCTAGTGTGTGAGCCTTGGGTTTGATCTTCAGAACCACACACACACACACACACACACACACACACACACACACACACACAAATTCCACTAAGCATTTTATGTGTGGCTGCTTTTTAAATTATTTCTACACATAATTCAGAAAGATAAATGAAACTTTCAAAGAATTTAACAAACACTTATAAGCAAATGCCCATGTAAACATTATACAGGTCCAAAAGGAACCCCCTCCCCACTGTCCTGTCCTGTTCACATCTCTAGAACTCACTGTTCTGAATTGCATGTTAACAGTTTTTTTGAGATCGGACATAGATTTACTTTTGCTGTATGCATTTCTAAACAAAGTCTTAATTTCACATATTTCCCAGGGGCTGTGGATAAACTGGCTTAGGGACTGGCTAGCTGCCCAGTTATTTAATTCACATTTCACTGCTTTGTAATAAGGGAAACATTAACAAAGGAAACAAAGCTTATTCTTTGAGTTCTGTTAAGTCCTCTTAAATTAAATCCTATCTCTTGATAGTTTGCTTTACTTCCTCAACAGTACAGTGTGTTCGAGATTTATCTGCATTGCTTCGGGTAGTTACAGTTTGTTCACATTCAAAGCTGTGTGAGTGAATATACTGTAATTTACCTACCTGACCTGTTGCTGATAGCTGTTTGAGTTATTTCCAGGGTAGGAGTATTGCTAATAACACTCTCTTGAACATTCCTGTACATATATGACTCTACGTATCTTTCGATGTATTCCTGGGAGGGGCCCTGCTGGCTGCAGGGATGTTTCTTTATGTATACTAGATAATGTCAGACTATTTACCAAAGTGCCCGGGCCAGTTCACACCCGAACCAGCAATGTCTCAGAGCTCTTCTTGCTCAAAATCCTTAGCCACATTTGGTATTAGCCAACACTCAGCTTTTTAGTCTTTAAAGACTGGTGACTGTGCAAGTGTGGCTTAAATTGGCATCCTCCCAATTCCTCATAAGCTTCACTATATTTTAATAAAGTCCACTAGGCACTGAACTGTCATCAATTGGGTTTTCATTTTTTAAAAAATCCTATATTGATTTTGATCAGGACATAAAGACCCTAAGAACTACATCTATAAATTTACTATAAGAGAAATAATTCATAGGACTTTATAAAATTGGTTCTAAATTTCATCTGCAAGGAAAAAGGACGAATAATTTAAAAATTCTGAAAAGAATAAAGAGACAAACTTGTATCACCTATATTATAAAGCTACAACAATGAGCATTTGAAAGCCATGGAATGTAGACGTTAGCACAAAAATTCATTTAGTTTATGGTGAATATATTTAAAATCAGCCTGACGAAGGTCTTAGTTAAGACACAGTCTCAAAATAATTATTTAATTATATAGCAACAATAAGTTCAGATCCTTACTGTATCTATTCAGCCAAAACCATATACAGCTGGATTGAATAAAAAAATAAAAAAAAATTTGCTAAAATCACCTAAAATCTGGAAGTAAGGTCTCATTAACAATAGCATCAAAAACAGGAAGTACACAGTGAAAAGATGAGAAGTTGTGGGTACAGCTGAGTGGTAGAGCATGTGCTTAGCATGTGTCAGACCACAGTCAACCCCCAAAGTCCTCTCAACCCTCAAAAGAAGTAGTAGTTTCATGGTATCAGATGAACTCATTTATGCCATAAAAACAGCAACCTAAAAAGTGGAAAATCATATTTAGGTGAATAACTTAAAATAAATATGATATGCCAGGATTTAACTACTACTCGTAAAACATAAAGGCAGGATTTCTTCATGAAACCGGTAAGAAATATCAGGGTAGGCAGAGGTATTAATATGCAAATAGAAAATGGGCAAAAAATGTGAACAGGCAAGATACAAAATTCCATTTTAATACTACAATATGGTGTCATTTTTTCTTATCATTTAAGGCCGATTAAAGGTACCGATGGTGTAGCCATGATGGCGCAGAGAAGAGTACACCTCAGGCACGACCTGAGCAAGTATAAGTCAATATGCACTTTCAGGAGGAAATGCGTTAATAACTATACCACTGGCTAAAAGGTGCTTCTTAAATTAATTTTAATTGACAAATAAAAATTATGGATATTTATTGTGTACCCATGATGTTTTAAGATAGGTATATGCTGCAGCAAGGCTAAATAAAGGCAATTATCACATGCTTTACCTCATAAACTTCTTTTGTGGTGAGACAAATTTACTCTCGGTGATTTTCAAGAATAGAATACATTATTATTTTGAGAACACATTATTATTTTGAAAATGTATCCCAAAGAAATAATGGTTGCAAGAAATGATATTGCTAATAGGATTTTTACTACAGAATTATACATAATTCCAAATGAAAAACAATCTAATGTCCAATAATAAGGGCAGTAAATTTTGGAGCCACCCTCTAATCTGCGGGACATGAGACTTTAACAATGACAGGCCTCTGTACCAGTGTGGAGAGAAAAGCAGGTGAGTTGCCAAGCCCCACGCTCTGGAGTCAGAGAACAGGCCTTGGGCTGTAGTTCAGGCATGGCTATGAACTTGAACCAAGGGGCAGCAGAGCAGTGCCATGAGTGAGGGCTTTGGCTTTGAGCGCTTGCAACTATGTGCCTCGTTCCACCATGGACGCTTCTCTGCTGCTCATCTTTAAAGCACAAGAAACAAAAGTTCCAGTCTCACAAAATTACTTTTAGTTTATATAATGTAATTCGTACACTTAGAACAGGGCTCAGCACGTCCAAAGAACGCAGGAAGCATCAGTCA